AATAGCGGAAGCATTTAACGACAAGTCTTGTGAACCACTTTGCGCTAGTAAGTGAGGGCAAAGTAGATTGAATAATGCAAAGAGATACAGGCTTTTATAAGAGTATAACAACCGTTTTGCTGCTGCTGTTGCGGTTCGATACAGTGACGACTCGGGCAATTGCTCAATAACGAGTCAGTTGTTTGCAGGGCCCAAAATTCAAGGGTGTTTTACCCTTTCTACCCTTGCTATGGGCCGCTTTTCCAGGAATGCCCTGATGTAGGACGTGTATTTACAAATTGACCCTGACTGTATATTTGTAGTTTTTGAAATACACTTGCAAAATCAGGCCACCCCGAGTTCTCCCCTGACTCGTCAGGGTACTTTTTCAAATGCACTGAAACAAACTTTCCTCGTGTGGTTTCTGTACAACAAGGCCCATGTGGCCACTAGTCCGAGATGGTTACAAAACCGGCCAGACGAGTCACTGTCGCGCTGTCACATCGACAAAACAGACCACACCAGGAAACTTGTGATTCGCTGCCTCACAGCATTTACATCCAGCATGGCAATGTAGCCCACACCACCATGCCACAGAGTGTCCTTGCAGACTGTGGGTGGTGGGGCTTCCTTGGCCTATTCATTGTATGCGCAGCGCCACACATTCTGGAAGCGTGGTCGAAAGGCCACATCCTTAGAACGAGTGCCTTCTCTTTCATCCTCACCTTCTCCAGCCATTTCTTCTATCCCCTACTGTGCTCCACTAGCTCCACCTTACCATGCCAGACGAGGAATCAGAAGGAGAAGCACCTGCTTCTCCTCGCAATGGACTTTCTGTGCTCGGGGTTTTCCCCCGGCTGGGCAAAGCCTATGCCACTCCTGTCCAAGAACCTCCTCGCCCCGAATCACCAGTCCGTTCAGTCGGCATGGTGTATGCGTGGGAGGCACCGAACTCGCCGACTGCCTGGGAGCCACACCCGTTCGTGACATTGGTGCCTGGTGGTGACGAGGGCCCTTCAAACGGAGGCGAGAGCACTCCGTCAACGGTCAACAGCGCTCCAGCTAAGCGTGCTCGAACCGGTGGTGTGAAATACACCAAGCAGCTCCTGTGGGGTGCAAAGCCTCCACGCAAACCACCAAGTCCTCCACGTGTACCTCCGCCAGTGGAGGCTGAGGAGCTACCCCAATCGGATGCGGACACTGAGTATTCTATTATCAAGCATCGTTTTGATTCTGACTAGTCGTCTCGTTTTCCGTGGCTTCGTTTGCATCGCACGAAAGCAGGCCGGCCCTCGTTGAAGTGCAACATCTGCATGTTGCATGGCGACCCCGCTGCCAACACGACGTACGGCATCAAGGGCGAGGGTGGCCGCGATCTTCAACTAGGTAGCATGCGCGCCCATGTTGCGACTAGGGCGCACAAGGTGGAAGCTGAGGCTGAGGCACGTCATGAGCGTCAACTGACTCTCACACGTTGGCAAGCCACGGATGCATCAACGCATCACATAATCCGCTGTCTGCACATCGCCATGTTCATATGTAAGGCGGATGCTCCAATCGCCCTTTTTGTACCTCTCTGCTGGTTCCTAGCCAGAGAGGGACTTCCAGATCTACCGCCCACAGGTGGCTATGGCGCATACTATACGGAGTAAGTTCATGCATTCCTTCTGTTGGTAGCATGTTTTATTGCCTGTACAGTCGGCAAATACTAATACTTCCGCATCTGTCCGTCGTGTGTGCAGCTACGGTTTCAAGGAGAAGATCAGATTGATGTCAACTTACCTCCAAGACCTCCAGCTGCAGCACCTGCTGACCTCACCGTGGTTCGGGATTGGCATTGACGAGAGTACGGATCGCATCCACGGGAAGCACCTGATCATCTACGGCACATTCTTCAAGGGAACGGTGGTGGCGACCGAGTTCTTATCTCTTCTCACGGTTGAGCGGACAGACGCTGCTTCGCTCACATCTGACGTCGTTCAGTTCCTGCAGCATACTGGTGTGGACCTGCAAAAGATGGTCGGCATCGCCACGGATGGCGCGAGCGTGATGGTCGGGGTTCACAATGGCGTGGTCGCGCGTCTCCGCGCCAAGATTCCTCACCTCGTTTCCACACATTGCATAGCGCATCGGTTCGTTTATAAGATGTGCATTGTTTTACGCCTTAACCCTTTGCGTTGTTGTGTATATGCTTCACTCCATGTTTGAGCCTAATGCGTGGGCAACATGTCCCCTTGTTCACCGATCCACCCTCTGTCCTGCAGTGAAGCTCTGGCGGCGAAAGATGCTGCGACTGCCGTGAAGGAGCTCAACATTGTCGACACCATCGTGCGCGGGTTTGCCTCCCTTCTATCCAACAGCAACGTCCAGCACGCGCGGTTCATGAATCTACAGCTCACCTTCTGTCAAACCAACCTGGAAGCCCAAGGCATCCATGCAGTTCGTTGGTTATCTCTCGGGGAAGCCGTGTCTCGTCTTCTGGAAGTGCTCCCGGCTGCCATTGTTTTGATGAAAGACCAGTCGCCGACGATGTACAAAGCGGCGACGTCATTCAAGTTTCACTGGCTTCTGCGGCTCCTGGCGGACGTCTTGTTCGAGCTAAATCAGCTCAACCTTCGGTTCCAGCAACGCCAGGTTAGTATGCGCTCTGTTTATGTCACAGTCACCTCAATGCTTGGTTTCCATATGAAATATCGTTTTACCAACACGCACACTTTGATTCTGTACTGCGCGTGCGTCACAGGTGGACGTGACTCTGGTGGCACACCTTGCAGAGTAGACGCGGATGCGCCTCACCCAACGCTACCTCCGTGTCCCCGAGGGACACACATTCGGTCATGGCGACAAGATGCATTTGCCTGCCTTCATTCGTGCACATGGGAAGTCGGACCCGGAAAAGCGGAAGATGAAGGGGGAAGGGGTCGATAGAGATGGGACCCCATCCTCTCATGAGTTCGTGCTCCACGAGCGACCACTGGCCGATGAAGACCCTGACGGTGAAGCGACGGCAGGTGACGCGACAGCATGCTACGAGCTGTCGACCAAGTTTGTGCGGGAGGTTGTCAAGCAGCTTGAGAAGCGCCTAAGAGATCTGTCTCACCTCGATGGCTCGAAGCTGTTCCTGTCATCGAAGTACCTACAAGATGATGACAAGCGTGTCGCGGCGTTCAAGCGCTGGTTGAAGCAGCTCCATGTGCTCTACCGCGAGTCCTTGCCAGGTTTGTGCGCTGTTGATTATGACAAATCTGTGCACACATGAGTGACACACCCTGCTCTAATAGCCTGCACACGGCCTGTTTCACATGATTTGTGCTCGTAAAGATCAACACCTCCCCCCCCCCTTTCCCCCTCCCTACACTAATCTGCCGCTCTGTACTCCTTTGAGAATCATTCCCCCTATGCCTCAGGCTTCAACTACACGAAGGCTGTCGCTGAGCTCTGGATGTTTACATCGACCATGCATTCTCAGCACCATGACGAAGACTTCCATCAGGCGCTCAGCAACACTCTGCGCGACGACCAATGGCAGCGCTCCTACCCCAACATCATGCTCCTGTGGCAAGCAGTCGCTGTGCTGCCCCTGAGCACGGTGGAGTGTGAGAGGGGGTTTAGCAAGCAGAACATTATAAAAACGTGGGGCCGGGGGGCTATCTCAGACACATCATTGGGACACATAATGCGCTGCTCTCTCCTTGAGTACACCGTGGACTGGTTTGAGGTCGCACGCATCGTCCGTGGCGACAGAAACAGGCGGCCAATCCGAGACTTCACTGGCAGCAGTGATACTCAGTTTAACACGGCAGCAGTCCCTGACACCACTGCAAGTGCAGACCAGCAGGAGGGACCCGAGAATGAGTGATGTGTTGTCTTGTTAGTGGTGGTTATGTTGAGTAGAGTTGCATGTAGGGAAGTTATTAGGTTGTGCCAGTAGGACTTTGAACTAGCAATCAGAATGGTTTTTTGAATACCCTTACACACACAGGGTACTGGCTAAAACACACTGACTAGCTCAGGGTAAAAAATTTCACACACATACGGTCAGGCAAAGGGCACTGGGGGACCCTGATATGGCAGGGTGCCCCAAAACCAATTTTGGGCCCTGGTTGTTTGTCCTTGCTGTCGCGCTGTATTTGTCAGGTCAAAGGTCGCTGACCTTTGACTTTCGCGTAACCTCCAGTGGTTTCTTCATCTCTCAATCTCCGAGGGTTGACTCGCCGGTGCTTCGCTGTGTTTCGCTCCGTTTGCAACTTAGTGCTTCGACACGACAGAGGCGCTTAAATTGCTTGTTTCCAACAACATACCGTATACTCCCGGACAAAACACCCCCCCATAATTGTACACCCCCGGGTAGCTTGTGCGGGGTGGGTGTTATGATAGACCCCGTTTCCACTATACCCCCCTTTTTGCCTGATTTTCTATAACACCCCCCTTTTCTTACGGATTCATTAGTATAGTCGTTAACGAGTAGCTGCAATACGGAAGAATGTCGTGTGAATTTCTCCCTCAATGAAATTCCGCGGTAAATTCAAAGGCAATCTGCCGAGATTTGCCCTCTCCCACTATTTCTCTGTTGCCACGTGCAGGTGAATCTTCCGTTGCAAGTGGCAAGAGAGGTGTCACATGGCATTTTCGTGAGGGCGATGAAGTTCGAGGCCGAAACTGACATTCGCGCCTCAGGCAGTGATGCTAAAACGACCAGCAAAACACCCACATTGACTAATTAAAAAAACACTAACACTAAAATATGCCATATGTAAAGACCCAGGTATTATGTATTTTTTTCCTATGAGGAGACCCCCCCCATTTTTTCCCTGTATTTTTAGCTATACCCTAGGGTGTTATGTCCGGGAGAATACGGTACAGCGCATTCAGTGGTCCAGTTGCGACGCAGTGTATTTAGAGCGAATCTCGCATGTACAGTTTCAAACAAAACAGAACACGGCTGCCACGGGTTATAGCAAGCTCAATGCAATGAGCAAGAACTTGCTGAATACACTGCAGCAATGATTACAAGTTACAAGTTAAAGCCACAGCTTCATATCTCTGACACACATCTCCTGCACCTGGCTGTCCTCCCCACAGCTCACCTGCACGGCCACTATCTCATTCCTATGCGCCTCCAGCCATGCCCTATCCCCCACCACCTTCCACCCAGGCGGGAATAATTGCTCTGGAAGCACCCCCACGATTGCTCCCTTTGGCCCCTCTCCTACATCTCCTGTGCCTCCTCCCTTACCTGCGTCCGTACCTGCTCCCGCACCTGCTTCCGTACCTGCATCTATGCCTCCTGCCGAACCTGGACCCTCACCCAACCCAATCTCCTCCGCTCCCACAAGCCCCGCTTCCCGAACCATCTCAGCCACGGCATGGTTGAGAGCCCTTTTCAGAATCTCCGAACCAGAAAACACGCCCGAACCACCTGCAGCTTCGGCTGCTTCTGCATTCTTACAACCTCTTAAAGCCCTGAGTGCCCAGCGGTGCACCATGGCTTGCACAGGAGGGGAGGGGCGAAGAGCCATGAGCCATGGAGAGAGGGACCCCAGAAGGGACGGCGTGAGGGCGGTGGTGTTGGGTGGTGCAGGGGCCGCTGCCTGCTGCATGCTGCCCCCGCCCTTGCTCTCCGCTTTCGCTCTCATACCTCTCTCTGCTGCTCGTTGCGTCACTGGTGCTTCTGCTTTCTGCGTGCTGCCCCCACCCCCAACCACCTGCTCTGTGCTGTTTCCCAACCCATTCTCAACCGCCACTTGTGCCCCTTGCGTCGCTGGTGCTTCTGCTTGCCCCGTGCTGCCCCCACCCTCACCCACCTGCACTGTGCTATTTCTCGGCCCTTTCTCTGCTGCCTCTTGTGCCGTTTGCGTCGCTGGCACGTCTGGCTGCTGCTTATGTTGCTGCTGCTGCTGCTGTTTCTGTTGCTGTTGCTGTGGCTGTGGCTGCTGCTGCTGCTGCTGCTGCTGCTGCTGCTCCTGCTGCTGCTGCAGTGGGGCTTGGTGAGAGAGGGAAGGCAGCACGAGGGAATAGGATGGCGGGAAGTAGGGGCGGGCGTCACGCAGCCACACCGAGTTGATGTCGCTGGGAGGAGGGGAGGGGGCATGGTGGCAACGGTAGATTAGAGAGTAGGGGCGGGTGTCACGCAGCCACACCGAGTTGATGTCGCTGGGAGGATGGCAGGGTGCATGGGGGGAGGGGAGGGAAAAGGGTGGGGAATGGAAGGCCAAGAGTGGGAGCGGGCAATACCCAGCCACACCGAGTTGATGTCGCTGGGAGGACATGGAGAGGAGGGGGCAGGGTGGGAGGTGGGAGGGGGGTGAGGGGAAGAAAGAGTGAGGAAAGAGAGAGAGGGTAGAACAGAATGAAAGAATGCGATCGCGGGGAGAATGAGGGAAGAATGGGGAGGCAGGAGGGGAGAATTAGGAAAATAGTGAGTGAGGTGATTATAGTTAAAAGCACTGTGCACCGCTCAGCACCATGAATTGCTCATTGCTCTCTGAACTTCTTCTAGTAGCACTGTGCACTGTACCTGTAGACGGCAGTGACATTGGCAGCCAGCAGGCGGGCGATGATGAGGGGCCAATGAGGTGCTTATATTTGACAGCACTGTGTATTGCCCAGTGCACCTGGAGCTGTAGCATCATTCTAACAGCTCCGCGCATTGCGCACTGTACCTGTAGACGGCAGTCACGTTGGCAGCCAGCATGCGGGCAATGATGAGGGGCGGCAGCAGCAAGCATGTGGCAGCAGCCACTTGCAGGGACGTCCTCTCCTTGGGTCGGTCCACGGTGTGCCCCCCTGGCATGCGCATCACCTAGGGGGGAGACACGGGGACGCCACGGGGGAAGACACGGGGAAATTCACCGGAGGCACAAGATTCACCTGAGGCACAAGATTCACCAGAGGCACAAGATTCACCTGAGGCACAAGATTCACCTGAGGCACAAGATTCACCTGAGGCACAAGATTCAGCTGAGGCACAAGATTCACCTGAGGCACAAGATTCACCTGAGGCAAAGCACACGATTCACCTGAGGCAGAACACAAGATTCACCTGAGGCACGGAGGCGAGGAGAGCTCTCCCGAGCAAAGGTATGCGGTTCATGCGCGCCCACCAGGTGCGGAACAAGGCGTCCTGGCCTGATGGGGGCGGGAGGGGGGAGGGGGAAGGTGGTGAGAAAAGGTATGTGGTTCATGCGCGCCCACCATCCACGCACCATCCACGCACCATCCACGCACCATCCACGCACCACCATCCACGCACCACCCACGCACCATCCACGCACCATCCACGCACCATCCACGCACCACCATCCATGCACCACCCACGCACCACCCACGCACCATCCACGCACCATCCACGCACCATCCACGCACCATCCACGCACCATCCACGCACCATCCACGCACCATCCACGCACCATCCACGCACCACCATCCACGCACCACCCACGCACCAACCACGCACCATCCACGCACCATCCACGCACCATACGCACCATCCACGCACCATCCACGCACCATCCACGCACCATCCACGCACCATTCACGCACCATGCATGCACCATCGCAGGCAACAGTGAAGACCGCCATGACACCACCAGCAGCCACGCTCATCCCTTTCCCCTCCATCGTCTGCAAATACTCCCCCGCCCACGGCTCCACTGCCGCCAGTACCCTCGCCTCCCACCAGGGCGCCAGCTATGCTATGCCCATGCTCGACCCTTTCATCAACTCACCACCTCCTGTGCAAGAACGCTGAACGCACTATCAGTTGAAACCCACCTCTCTAACAAAGCAGCAACGCACCATCGCAGGCAACAGTGAAGACCGCCATGCCACCACCAGCAGCCACGCTCACCCCTTTCCCCTCCATCGTCTGCAAATGCTCCCCCACCCACGGCTCCACTGCCGCCAGTACCCTCGCCTCCCAATCCTCTTCTCCCCCTGCCTCTCCGCTTCTCCCAGCTGCCCCTGTCGACTTTTGAGGCGCCTCAAAAGTCGCCTCCCAATCCTCTTCTCCTCCCGCCTCTCCGCTTCTCCCAGCTGCCCCTGTCGGCGCCTTCTCCTCCCCCTCCTTCCCACCCTTCGCACCACCCTCCAACCCCAACATCCCTGCAGCCTCATTCTTGTCATCCCGCTCAGCCTTCTCAAGGGACCTAGGCGTTGGGAAGAGCAAGATTGGCTCCTCGTCGTCCCTTCCCTCGCCTGCCGCCTTCTCTTTGCCACCTGCTGCTCCCTGCCCTTTCTCCTCCTGCTCCTCAACCAGCCCTGCGGCAGAAGATGCATTTCCAGCAGCCGCACCAGAAGCAGCAGGAGCAGCAGCAGCAGTGGCGTTGCTCCGTTCCTTCACCCACCATAACCCCGCCTTCTTCAGCGCCTCGATCTTCGCGCCCTTCCCTCTCACATAATTCGCGTGCACCATCACCACCCGCGGCCTTACCGCCTCAAACTCCTCCCAGTGCTCCTGCATAAGATGCCCAGACGGGAACTGCAGCGGCGGCAGCACTCCAATCCGCGGCAGCACACCCCTCTGGTACATCCACTGCATGACCAGATTGAACTGAGCCTGATCCAACCCCCCCTTGCGCCCCAGCTTAGCTATTCGAAACGCCCAGTTGCCTACGAGGCTCTTGGCAGCGGCAGTTGGGCGGAAGAAGAGCAGGCAGGTGCAGAAGATGCGACCCCCTTTGTTGAGAAGGCCTGTGTAGGTCGGATCCATGGGGTCTGTGTAGGGAGATGGCTGCTCTCTGTAACGATCGATGCTCACAAACATGTCGAAGTCAGAACCGCTGGTGTAAGCGTCAGCAGCAGCAGAAGCAGAAGCAGCAGCAGAAGCAGCGGCAGAAGCAGCAGCATCAGTGGGATGGCTGGGTTTTTGGAAGAAGGGGAGGGGGTTGTGCAGGTAGGCAATGTCGATGTCGCTGTAGAGCACGGAGAAGCCAAAGGAGAGGAGGTGGTGGATGTAGACTGCTCGGTGGGATGCCACACTGAAGAACCCCGCTGAGTTGATGTCCACCTCCTTCCTCACATCCACGTTCTCCTCGTCGTTGAACTGGCCAGTCAGGTCCAGGTGAATGGCCTGGAGGGGGGGGAGGTTGAGAGCGAGCGAGGGGGTATAAGGGAGATGGGCGGGTGGGGTGGGGGATTGTGCCGCTTTGAAGCCCCCTCTCTCCCCGTCGGCCCTCTCATTGCAGTTGAGGGAGAGGAGGAGGTGTGGGTGGATGTAGACTGCTCGGTGGGACGCCACGCTGAAGAAACCCGCTGAAGAACCCCGCTGAGTTGATGTCCACCTCCTTCCTCACATCCACGTTCCCCTCGTCGTTGAACTGCCCGCCCAGGTCGAGGCGAATGGCCTGCGGGAGGGAATGGGGATGAGACGTCTCAAAGCCGGCTGAGTTGATGTCCACCTCACCTCCTTCACGTCCACGTTCTCCTCTTCGTTGAACTGCCCTGTCAGGTCGAGATGAATGGCCTGCGGGGAATAGGGAGGAGTGAGAGAGCAGGGTAAAGGGGGGAAGGTGCCAATTTGATGCGTGAGGCCTGCTCTACGTCCACGCTCTCCTCGTCGTGGAACTGCCCGCTCAGGCTCAGATAAATAGCCTGCGGGGAATGAGGAGGGGTGAGAGGAAGGAAGGAGGATTTAGAGGGTATAAGGGGGATTGTGCCAATTTGACGCATGATGCCTGACCTGCTCTACGAGGTTTGAGACGTCTCAAAATGCAGAGGGTGAGAGCGAGTAGGGTATAGGGGGGATGGTGCAGATTTGATGTGTGACGCCCCCTCCTCGTCCACTCTTTCCTCGTCGCTGACCTGCCGCTTTTGAGATCTCTCAGAAGCAACCGTTGCAACGCCACACTCGAAAAAAAAGGCCACCACATCCCTCAAAACAGGAAATTCCGTTTGATACGGCTCTCACACTGAAACGATTCATGAGGCGCCTAAAAATCGTCTCAATTCTGTTTGATACGGCTCTTGTAATGGACGATCAAGCATGCGGGGCATTGCGTGAACTCACCTGTCCGGGCCATTTGGACTGGGCAAATTGAAGGATTGTCTTGTCTGCTGCGAAGAGAATGAAGTGGCGGCTCAGACCCACCCGCTCCAGATGCAGCACCCAGTTCTCCAGCATGTCCTCGAACCCTGCAGTGGCACAGTGATGATGTGGTGATAGGGTAACAGTGATTTTAACGCCCTCATGTGCGACCCAATGCCTCCAGATGCAGCACCCAGTTCTCCAGCATGTCCTCAAAACCTGCAGTGACACAGTGATGGATGGGGTAAAAGGGTAAAAGGGTAACAGGGTAACAGTAGACCAGCGCGTTCAGATGCAGCACCCAATTCTCCAGCATGTCCTCGAAGACTGGGTGTCCCAGGGCGACAGGGAAAGAGGGTAACAGGGTAAGTAACAGTGAGCTGAACGCCCTCACATGCAGCACCCAGTTCTCCAGCATGTCCTCGAAACCTGGTCGCCCCACGGCGACAGACAAGGAATGAGGGTAACAGGGTAGGTAACAGGGTAATAGTGAACTTGACGCCCTCTGCTGCAACCCAACGCCTTCAGATGCAGCACCTAGTTTTCCAGCATGCCCTCGAAACCTGGGCGCCCCAGTGGCATCGTGGCACAGTGTGGGGAGTCAGCAATACAGTTACACGGTCTGGATGCAGCATGCACGACTCAACGTTTCACCCAGCGACAGGGTAACAGGGTAACAACACGAAGAAAAACCAGTGAGGAGGGAAACAGGCGAGAAGTTATCGGTTCTTCAGCATGCCTCGCGGGCCGGAAGGAGGGGTAGCATGGGAAGGGGAATACGGTAACCTGGTAACAGAATACTGGGGGAATGGCGGGCAGGAGAATGTAGCGAACCATCATCGGCGCACCTGCATTGGACAACGCGATAATGATGGTCCCGTTAAGCGAGAGGCGGCTGGCCATGTCCCAGAGCGCGCCGAGCTTCTCATGAAGCTCGCCGAGGCCGTCGTCTTCCGTTAGGCGACGACGGACTGGTTCGCGAAGGGATTCGCGAGAAGGTTTGGCGAAGGAGAAGGCGACGAAACGGGTGCTGAGAAGAAGTATGAGGAGGACGAGAGAGGAACGGAAGAGGCGTTGACAGGAAAAAAGGGAGGTTAACGAGGAGATTCCTCGCACACGTGGCGGCTTTTCTGTGGCTGGAAAATCCATCGCTAGCAACACTTGTCACCGGATGATCGCAAAACGTAGCGCCGCGAATTACTGGCCCTAGTTTTATGTCGTGAACATTATGTTGTGCGTGAACGAGGTGTCTGGAATGGAAACCCATTGCTGCTGGGTGTGGACTCAAGTAGGCACTGCCTGTGTCAAAACTCAAAGCTAAGGCTGAATCATCATTATTCCAAGAAACGTTGGCCGGCAAATCCCAGAGACACTTCTGGGTGGGGAAGGGAGGATAGTAAGGAGGATGCCGCACAGTGAACTCCGATCCCATGGTTCCCCCTTTTGCCCGCACTGTAGTGAGAACTGTAGCCCAATCGCGAAGCACCGGGGCGCAAAAATGGATTACGACGACTTGTTCTGCGCGAATTGAACTTCTCGGCTCGGCTGCGAAGTCCATTTGGAGTTACCGAAGGAACTTGAGAAATTCCAGGGTGGGCGGAATGGTGACGACATTCTGGATGTCCACCCAGCTATCGCGAACCCTCCACACCAGTTGACGAGTGTTTGTGACAGTTCAATGTACTGTATCTAGTTAGGGCGTGCTACATTTCTTATTTGTTTTTTTTTTCCAAACGGACCGGACCGTCTGAACGGCTAAAATCGTTTTTTTGTTAAACGCTCTGTTCAAGTGGGTCTCAGTTTGTTGCAGAGCGGTTTCTGTCCGGACCGTACGTAAAAATCGAAAGTGTAACACGCCCTTACAATTCGCCACTTCAGACGGTTCGGAAATCGGTGTGCACACATGTTTCACATCCGCAACTGTACAGAGTGGAATAATTTGGCATGGGTTCAGTGCGGTGGCGAGCCACCTTGAGAGACCCACTTGCCACGCCATAAGGAGGTGTCCAGCTCGTACATTTAGTGTTCGTAAACCCGCTCAGTTACCACATTATTGAACGTGTCCTGCGGACACAATCTGCTTTCGTTCACAAGACGGCACGCCCCCTGCACGTACCTCGAGTCGTCTGACTCACGTTACTGGAATCAGCGGGGATACGAACAAGGGTACAGCACCGCGTCTTGTCCACTACAGTAGTGCCCTCTGTGTCGCTTGCACAATTTCGCCAGTAGCTGGCTACACTCGCCAACACCCCCCCGCCTGCCCAAAAATTCGTTAGATATGATTGACGAGGGAAACTGTTACCTCGTTTCGAACGCGATCAGAGCACTGTTGATTCGTGTGGCGGGGAACGTGTCCGCGCTCCTGAAGCTACAGTACGTGGGACTCAACTCTCAATACATTCGTTTTTAGGTACAGTGAAATTTCCTGAACCTCGAGACGTGTGTCGGCACTTAAAAACCCGAAATGAACGACTGGACACGCCCTAATTGACCGTTGGTGATCTGCTCGTGCTTATCTGGCTGGTCGACTTGAGCAACAGCGACCAGCCGCCAGTCACGGCGAACGTCAGGAAATTTGATGCTTGCCATCGTTGTCATCTAAAGCGAAATTTGTTACGAGCCTCGCTGCGCGCTTCCCCCACGAGCTAACCGTCCCATACGCGTTACCGCGAACAGTTGATGCGCCCGTTGTAGTAAAACCGCACTCGAGGCTGAGATAGAAGTCGCGAAGGGACTCCCTACGGCCACACGGTTCAGTATACGAACAGATTGCTAAGACGAAGTTTAGGCTCCACACGAATGTCGCCAGCTCAAGGACGTCGGCGCACTTCATTCGCGTCGCAGGTGTTTCCTGAGATTGCTCAGGTGACTTTTGAGTCGACTCAAAAGTCACCTGAAAAAGCACCTGCAACAGAATGGACTCAAAGGCGACAAGCGGCGCGCTTCGTTCGCGCCGAAAACTCTTTACACGACGGTTGACACGTATCGGGGTTGACCCTTCAACCATACAAGTTCCCTTACGTGCGCTGAGATCGTCGCCGTTCTCCTGTCAACGCCTCTTCCGTTCCTCTCTCGTCGTCCTCCTCGCAACTCTTTTCGGCAGCCATTTCGTCGCAGGCTCTTTTGCCGAACCTCTTCGCGAATCTATTCGCGAACCCCTTCGCGAACCAGTCCATCGTCGCCTGGCAGGAGTCGGCCTGAGCGATCTTCATGACAAGCTCGGCGCGCTATGGGACATGGCCAGCCGCGTCTCGCTTAACGGAACTGTCATTATCGCGTCCTCGAATGCAGGTATGCCCTAGAATGTCGTTTGGGTGAGAGGTTTAGAAAACCCCTCGTACGGCCCTTGTTCCAAGGATATGACGATTGCTGGAACTGGAGAGTTTTTGCCTTCCCCTGTCTTCTGCTCTGCGTGTTACGGGGTTACCAGGTATGATGTATCCTTGGTGGAATCATGCAGGTTTAACATATGAGGAAACTTTCATCCTCTGTTCTCCTGTTGCTCATTATTTAACTGCTTTATTTACTATGTACCTTGTTACCCTGGTGTCCTGTTACTCTGTTACTCTGCTACCCTGTTACCGTGTTACTCTGTTATGCCATCATTTTTTCACTGGTGACTTGACGAGGCCACACTGGAAACGGGCGTTGCACCTGGAAGCGTTGAGTCGCCCCTCCCCTCCCCCTGCCATGTTACCTTTCTCCCACACTTCCCTGCTACCCATATTCCTCTTTTACATTGTTACCCTGACACCATGTGACCCGGTTACCCTTCGCCCTGTTACCCTGTCATCCAGTTACCCTGTTGCCATGCCATCGGGCTGGCACGCAGGCTACGAGGACATGCTGGAAAACTGGGTGTTGCATCTGAAGACGTTGATTTTAGTGTGAACCTGTTACCCTGTTACCCTGTCACTGTGCCGCTCTGTGCCACCGGGGCTGGCATGCAGGCCTCAGGGACTTGCTGGAGAACTGGGTGCACTGAATTGATCACCAGTCCCCTTTCACCCGTCACTGTGCAACTGCTGCCAGGCGACGAGGGCATGCTGCTGGAGGGCTGGGTGCTTCATCTGGAGGTGCTGAGTCCACTGTTAGTTACCCTGTTACCCAATTACCCTGTTACCCTCTTACCCATCCCTGTACCACTGCAGGGTTCGAGGACATGCTGGAGAAACTGGGTGCTGCATCTGGAGCGGGTGGGTCTGGGACGCCACTTCATAGTCTTTGCTGCTGACAGCAAGAGCCTCGAATTCGCCCACTCCAAATGGCCTGGCCAGGTGAGTCGCTGAGTTGAGACGCCCTTGCCTTCAATAAGTGGTAACTGGTTACTGCTGGTTACTGGTAGCTAGTAACTGGACACCAAGGACGGTTCAGGTTTGATTGCGCAGCTCCGGTTTGAGGATAGACATGGCAGGGTAATGCATCTGGAGCGGGTGGGTGGGTCTGGGACGCCACTTCATAGTCTCTGCTGCGGACAGCAAAAGAGCCTCGAATTCGCCCACTCCAAATGGCCTGGCCAGGTGAGTCGCTGAGTTGAGACTCCAAGTTTGCGGGACAGCACAGCACCGAACAGGTCAATTGCCTTTCTCATTCATGGCCTTTCTCTTCTACCACCCACCCACCCTCGTGATTGAAGAAGGGTTTTGAGACGTCTCAAACCCTTCTTCAAGCACAGCACCGAACGAACAGGTCAATTGCCTTTCTCGTTCATGACCTTCTCTTATACCACCCACCCTCTTCATTCCCTCCCCATCTTGGAGTCGTTTGTTTTTTACATTTCAAATCCATCCTTTCTCCCACTGCTTCCTGCCATGCCTTTTCTGCGCGAGAGGGTGGCGGTGGAGGAGGTAAGGGGAAGGGCCATGACATCACGCCTTTTGAGAATTCTCAAAAGTGATCCCCAAAGAGGGGAAGGGCCATTACATCACGCCCGGCACAACCCCCCATGCCACCCGTCCATCCCCCGTACGTACCCTCCTCTCTCGCCCCTCCCCCCATCCCTGCAGGCCATTTATCTCAATCTGAGTGTGCAGTTTGGCAGCGAGGAGAGGGCAGACGTGGAGGGAGGGGGCATCACGCTTCAAGTTGGCACACCCCTCCACCGCATTCCACCCCTCCCACTCCTGCAGGCCATTCATCTCGACCTGAGTGGGCAATTTGGTCAGGAGGAGAGGGCGGACGTGGAGGGCGCATCGGTCATTGGAACAGCAGCCTTCCACCGGGTGGCATCCCACCGCGCCATCTACATCCACCATCTGCTCTCCTTCGGCTTCTCGGTCCTCTACAGCGACATTGACATCGCCTTTCTGCACAACCCCCTCCCCTTCTTCCAAAAACCTGACTCTAGCGGCAGCAGCAGTGGGCAGCAGTAGCGGCGACATTAAACCTGGCCCTAGCTTAGGTGCATCTGCTGCGGCTGCCGAAACTATCACCGATTTCGACATGTTTCCTCACCCACGACCGCTACATGAAGCAGCCCTCGCCCTACATCGACCCCATCGACCCACGTTCATCAACGGCCAGCCCCTCTTCTGCAGCTGCTT